GATGGGCCGGCCCGGTGGCGCACTGCTACAGTGCGCCGCTTGGGAAGCGCGGTGGCGCTCCCGCTGGGGGTTCGGATCCCACATACAGACCGGCTGCTCACTGGCTGAGCGAGGTGTGGGCGCAGCACCGAGGGTTGCGATCCCGTTGCTGGTCCCTGTCCGGTACGGGCGTGACACTGAGGGTTGCGATCCATTGCTGGTCACAAAAAAAAGACCAAAAAAAGGAAAAAAAAAAAAAAAGATGACCGGTAAGGGGATCTTAACACTTGACCTGGTGTTGTCAGCACCACACTCAGCCAGTGAGTGAACCGGCCGTCCCTACATAGGGATCCGAACCCCTGGCCTTGGTGTTATCAGCACCGCACTCTACCAAGTGAGCCACGGGCCGGCCCCTGCCTTATTTCTCACTATTCACATTTGCTACGACTCTTCTCTTCCCTTCCCAATTAAAATAGAAGGTAATATGAGCCTAGAGTGGAGTCCATCAGCTTGAAAAGGCTTGTCTTGGTCCATTGCATTACCAGACAGTCATGAACGAGGCCCCCGCGAGCAGCAGCTCTCCCCTCAGCCGCCCTCCCGACCCTGCAGCCCCCGGGGCAGGCTTAGGCGTCCCCAGGTGGACGTGCCTCCACAGAACCGTCCGCTGACCCCTGCCCTCGCCCCATCAGCACTCCGGGCAGGCAGGAACCGCAGCGCATTCACTGAGCTCATGGCACCGAGTGCCACGACTGTCTGGGTCCACCGTGGAGGGGGACCCGAGCCCGTGTGTGCAGCGAGGAGGGAGGAGAGAAGGGCGCGTCCCCACAGGGCTTCCCCGACGTCAACGAGTTTCACGGGCGCTGTTTCAGCCGTCACGCGTGAGCTCCCCCGACTCTTCCTGCGGCAAAGAATGACGATTGCTGGAGCCTTGCAAACCCGCCACCTACCCAGCGTGTAGAGCGCGATCCTGCCCGTGTACTGGGAGATCTTTCCGTACAGCGCGGAGCACAGCGAGTTGGTGGCTGAGAAGCAGATCATCACGTAGCCCACAAACTGGATGCCCAGGGCGCAGGTGGCATAGGACTGGAGGGGACAAGCAGAGCCACGTCACGCCACCCGCAGCCCTCTGGGGCTCACGTCTCAAACTGCAATTCGGTGCTTAGAGTTTGACCCTGTGACGGCTGACAGGCTAATTAGGCCCCAAACTTTTGTCCAGGCCCTGTAGCTCCCAGTGCAAGAAAACAATGCTGACGTTTGTAAGAAAGTCCTTTTTGGGGTAAAAACTAAAAGGATAGAGCTTGGACAGACGTGTGGACACATTTCTTTCCCTGGGTCACACTCCTTGCCACTGTGTGGTGGACGCGCTGTGTTATTCAGAGGATAGTGAGGGGTCGATCGTTTCCTGTTAGGTGTGAAGACAGATAAAGGGAGACAGAAAGAAAATGAAGGGAACCTGAACAGAGACTGGAAGGAGGCCAGGTGCCCCGCGACGGTCACAGCGACTCTCTGTGCTTCCCACATCCTGTCCCTGGGACAGGAGGGAAGCTGAGGCTGAAGCCACCGAGGCGCTGCCAGTGACCCGCCTGATGGGATGAGAGGGAGGGGCCGTGTCCACAATGCCAAGTGGACTCTTTCATCATCTTGTCTTTATCGCTTTAAACCTGTAAGACTCTCCATCCAGACGTCCTACAAGTTGTGCCAGATAAAATCTAGGATACCCAGAAACTGCCCAGGAGCTACTGGCACTGAAGGACACTCGTGGTTTGTCTGGGATTAAATGTGAGCGGGCATACTGCCTGTCTGTCTTGCTGATTTGGCAGCCCTGTCTGGGAGCGAAAGAGTGGGAAAGGTTCCTTAATAAGGGAGGTGGGAGGCTCAGAGGGCGGGGCCGTCAGGACACGGGGATGGTCCAGGCTGGGCCAGGCCCCTGACAGCCCCCGCAAGCCCCGTTCCTCCCCAGCATGTGCCTGGAGAGGGGACGGGCTCTCAGGGGAGGAGACAGCTGCAGGACAAGCGCGTCCCCGCGTGGCAGCCGAGCAGGTGCTGCAGGGTGGGCAGCCACCCTGGCAGGTGAGCTAGAGAGTGAGGCTTAGCGGGTGGTCTCTGTGGGAGGTGGCCACGGAGTTCCGATGGTCCCGCTTAGGACAGCATCGCTCTGTGTCCAGCACTCCCGTGCTGCTCTGGTTAGCCCCTAAAAGAGGCTTCTCCTTTGTCCATAACAAGGTCAGCAGCACAGGGTCCAGGCGGGGATCTGAGTGGACGGGGAGACCTGCCTGCAGACACGTAGATGTCCAGGTGGTAACACTGCGTACATTTGAAAACTAGAGTGATAAGGAACATTTCAGTGTTATTCTGAAATATTTTTTTCCCCATTTTTAACTCTAAAGTAAGAATATAGGGTGAGATGCGGGCAGGTGTAACACAGACGAGCATCACACGTGGTGAGTCAGTAACAGCTGCCCACTCGATAGCTTTGGTCCTTTCCCCACGAAGACCCTAAGCAAGCAAGACGTTCTCCCTGGAGATAAGAACTGGGAGCTCATGTGAGTTGGGAGTGTCTTGAAAGCTGACATCCTCAGTCAGAAACTCAGCTATAGAGGAGCTGGGAACCCCTCGAGCTCCATTCCCACCAGCCTGGGCGCTGGCCAGGTGGCCAGAGACCCCCTTGTTATCCCTCAGGTGCAGACACAGGCAGCTGTACTATTAGCACCACGCATCGCATTAGCCCCCAGCTTTGCGTTGTCTCCTACCCGTGTGTATTCACCAGAGAGGAATCCTTGCTGTAGTCCACTGTACAGCGGCAGCAGAGTCAGGAGACATAGACGTTTATCTCTAAAGAGCTTGAAAGTTGACAGTAAGGTGGACCAAAAAGGTGGTGATTTCTTCTCTCCTTGACTTTTCTGTTGAACATCTTGTATGGGTTCGAGAAATACGGCTACCAGCAGGATTGCCAGGATCCCACTCCCTGGAAGGAAAACACAGGGCAGAGGCCGCAGTATTTACAAGACACAGGCGGTCCCAATGCCTTGCATGGATTTATTGCATGGATTTATTTCTTCCAGGATGGAGGGTTAATTCAAATCCAGATTTATGGTATTAGACACGCCAAACCTCATAAAAGCCTGTGATTTCAAATGTCCAGTTGTACCTGATCATGCACATGTTGGTTCTCTGGTTAATGTGTGACTTCCAGGCTTGCCCATGACACCCGCTACAACGGGTCAGTGATGTCTTGACCCACATAAACACAAGAAATTAGGGGGAGATCCCAGGTGCTCTTGGTACCCTTAACTATTGACTCTGCTCCTCATCCTAATCCTCCAAGCAATTTCTACCAACAGCCAGCTTTTATTTTATTTTATTTTTTCATTTTAGGATAATGAGTCTCATAAGGGTACCATTTGCTACACTTTTTGTTTACTCCAAACTTATTTGTCTAAAAGTCCTTCAACAGGGGGGACACCACAATGAAAGAAAGAAAAAACTGCTCTGAGCATTTCAGCTGCAGCCACTGCAAGGCTGGCCCTGGTGAGCACATGGAGGAGGAGCCAGCAGAAGCCACAGCTGTGCCCTTTGGATGGAGTTGTTGGAGGCCACAGGGGAAAAGAAGGCTGTGGTGGCCCCCAGGACAGCAAGACCATAAATAGGGTTCCCATGGACCCACGTAGGAGCGAGGAGCCAGAACAACTGAAAAAAAGGAGCCATTCAGAAGCCGGTCAGTCATCGCAAGGGATCAGTGCAGGGCCCATCCCATGGGAAGTGTTTGGAGCATGGGTGGTGGGGAGACAGGCCCACCAGGAGAACACTGGGACACAGCAAGGACAGCTGATCCGCCCCCCAATCAGCACAGGACCACTCAGGAGACTGGTCGGGAATGCAGAATTTCATGGGGTGCAGTTTGATGAAAAAAATCAGGCCCAGATCAGGGTTTCTACACAACCCAGGTACACCGGGTCTCTGGAGAGCCAGAAGTACCTATAAGGTCAAC